GTCATTGACAGATGAGTCTTTCACCAGAATTCATCATGGCAAGACACATGAACACTTTTAAATGCACAGAGAATATTCACTTTTTGTAGTAGGATATACAAATGACAATTATTATGCTCTACTTTGATTTAGATACATGGAATACTAATGTTTAAACTCTGAATTCAACATAAATTTGTACAGTGACTGCTTGGTACTGTAACGAAGAGAGTATAATCTCTGTGAAGGCTACTAAAAAGTTACCCAACTAGTTTTGTTGGAGCTCAAGTGGTGGCAGTTCAACAGTAAGTTAACATCCCCAGATATTAGCTGCTTTATCTGCAACGAGGTTCATAAGGACAATAGTGTAAACAGTTATTGACAAGATTAAACTATGCTTCTCTGGAAGGCAATCTGAAATACAAATTAATTTAAAATACTCCAGATCTGGTAGGAAAATGCACCAGACTATGCCTACAGTATTATTTCAGTACAGAAAAACTGGAAATAATACAAAATGTCTATCCCTAGGGGCTCATATAAAATAACTAAGTAATAAGATACTCAACAGTTGCTTAGAAATATAGGACCTATTTCTTTAAGAGGAGAAATAGCTTCTAATGGTGGAAAATCCTTAATTCATAATGGAGTAAAAACAACCACTTATGGTGTCTTAATTAGGGTTTCTATTGCTGTGAAGAGACACGATGATCACAGCAACTCTTATAAAGGAAAACATCTAATTGGGGTGGCTTACATTTTTCAGAGGTTTAGTTCATTATATCATCATAGAATAACATGGTGCTGGAGAAAGGAGCTGAGAGTCCTACACCTTGACACATAAGCAACAGGACATGGTTTGCCACACTGAGCACAGCTTGAGTATAGGAGACCTCAAAGCCCACCCCCATAGTGACATACTTCCTCAAAAGGCCACACCTATTCTAACAAAATCATACCTCCTAATAGTGTCACTTCTTATGAGCATGGGGGCCAATTACATTCAAACTTCCGTACATTTGGAGGAGTTAAGAGTACTTATTGCTCTTCCAAAAGGCCCAAGTTCTGTTCCCAGTATTAAATGTAACTCTGGGGGATCTGATTGCTCTCCTTTGGCCTACACAGGTACCCACATATAGGTAGCATATGCAGACATAGACTCACAATAATTAAAACAAACAAACAAAACCTTGATGGGTGGTGGTGGCACATGACTTTAATTCTAGCACTTGGGAGGCATACACAAATGGATCTCTATGAGTTCAAGACCAGCCTGGTCTACAAAGTCCAGGACAGCTATTGCTCCACAGTGAAACCCGGTCTCAAAAAACCAAAAACCAAACCAAACCAAAACAAAACAATCCAAAAAACCTAAAAGAAGAAATCAAGCTTTCTAATGTTCTTTTAAAAATGCTAGTACTTTTTAATAAAAATTTGAGTTTGAATATGGAGTGTTGTGGTCTGTTTTGGTTTGAATACAATGTTAGAAGTAGCTAGGATTGATTTTTGATAACCAAATTCCTTCATTCTTATAGTCCAGTCTAATGGACATAGTAAAAAAAAATGCCTTCTAGGCATGTAAAAACAGCTTAGGAACTCTACTACACCCAAGGCTGCACCTGATAACCAGATCCCAATGACATCACTCACTCAAGATAACCAGACACAGTCCTAAAACCCTATGACGCCCACTGGACAATATACATAAGCAGAGACCAAGAACAATGCTCTGCTCTGCATATCTGGAGAGATGCCACCTTGATCTGCCCTGTAACTGGAGAATCTCCCCTGTGATCCTGACCCCTCCCATTAGATACTTCTGCTAGAGATTAGACCTGACCTTCAGCTAAGTACCTCGCACAGGTGAGCAGCCTTAGGGAGATAGGCTTAGGACATTAGTTAGGAATTTAGAGTGTGAACCTTGTGTGATGACCCTCAATATAATAAAATACAACTTTTGTTATACTAACTATGTATTTTTGTTATACTAACTACCTTTTTGCTCCCAACACAGTCAAAATATAGAAAGTTTTGTTTAGAGCAGAGACAGGTTTTTCTCCTGCTCCATCAAATGTGTTAATGTAAATATTCAAATCTTTCATATTATGTGCATATTAGTATTGCTCCCCAAAGTGGGTTAATAGGTTTTCTATTTTGTTAAGGAAATAGTTTAGAAACATCTATATATTTCTAAACATTTGCTATTTAGCCATCTGAACAGTAGAAGAATGCAGTCAAAATGATTTGAAAAAGAAATATGATTATTATTCTAAATATCTGGGGCTAGGGGTGTAACTCAATGGTAGAGCACTTGCTTGACATACATGAGACCTTGGGCTTAATCCCCAACATGACAAAACATATATACACACAAAATCCCCAAACTTATATCAATTATTTCTAAAGAGATTGATATTCTAATACTGACTTATGAGAAATGTTAATTTCCTGTTTCCAGTAAAAGCAACTGTATTCTTAATCCTGACTACTCCATCTTTTCCATTCATATTTTGCCTTTTTTAAATGAGTCACAGTGCAGCAAGACTGACACAGAACTGAACCTGGACATCATAAAGAGCCTCATCTGTTTATCTCTAGATACAGAATGTTTACACAGCTTTCCCAAGCTTTGAGTTTTTCCCATGGCACAAATCTTCGGAATTCCCAAACACTGACTTGGTTGTCAGATTTACAGGCTCCATGTAACTTCTATTTCTAATTCTTTTCAGAGAGTTCACAAGAAAGGGATATTCTTAGTTGGCTCAATAAACTGAGACTCAAGAGTTTGATTCTTTCACAGAGTCATAATCTGGATTTCTATTTGGGTTTTTGGAAAGTCCTAGAGATTTGTGGTATATGATACATAGCTACTGTTCTTTTCTGTTTGTTTGTTTGTTTTTCAAGACAGGGTTGCTTTATGTAGCTCTGGCTGTCCTGGAATTCAATTTGTAGACTACACTGTCCTCAAACTCACAGAGATTCCCCACTGCCTCTGCCTCCCAAGTGCTGGGATTAAAGGCGTGTGTCACCTTGCCCAGCCAGAGCCACTGGTTTAAACAAGTATTTCTTTTAGTAATTATGTGTGTGTAAATGTGTGCGTACAGTTTTCCTGCATAATCAAATAGATTTTATTGAAGCAATACCTTCTGTAACATAAAACTTGATAATTATAATTTTGCTCTCTTTGTTATTTTAAGTGGAAGCCCATTTTTAAAAACTATATGGAGTGTTTTGAGGAATCTTAAAATAATTTCATCAAATATGTTTAATAACTTAAAACTATATGTATCTTTGCTCAGTTGCCTATTCTCAAAAGACGTACTGATCTCAAAAGATCATACAATTTTATTCAGTTATATTTCAAAGATAAAACCTTTCTAGTTTGTTAGCTTGTGTGCTATTTCTCTTTTTTGAGAACTACTTTATCAAGTATGGGAGCTGGGGAGATGACTCAGCGGTAAAGAGTGCTTGCTGCTCTTCAGAGGACCTGAGTTTGGTTCTTCGCCCCTGTGTCAGGTGTCTCACAAACACCTCTAACTCCAGTACCAGGGGATTCAACATCCTCTTCTGACCTCTGTGGTTACACACACACACACACACACACACACACACACACAAAATTAAAATATAATTACTTTCTGTGAAATTCATCACATGTTCAAAATATTTAACTTACAACATTGGTCATTTACATAAAGAAATTAGTAACTTTAAGAAAATCTTACAAGTACATGTAAATATAAGCCTTTATCTTTATAAATGTTTTTAGATATGTCCTTTAATTTTCTCTTAGCTGCATGGGGCATTCTGTTTTTGAATGGAAGCTGCTGGAATGGAAAGGAAAAGCTATCCATCCTTTCAGCTAAATAAACTCAACCCAGGAAGTACAGCTGGTGCCTGTCTAAGGCCATGACCCTCCACAGAGACAACTCACCCTAATTTATGGTCAAGTGAACTGGAAAATAGCAACAGTGTTTAACTTAACTTAGGGAGCTGTGGAGGACGACACAGTGCTAAGGGAAGAGGCTAGATCTGGGAGCAAGAGTGAGGAGTTGTGTGTACTTGGTTGGGAAACTAGAGGAAAGAATTAAAAAAAAAACTACTATCCGTTGAGCTCCCATATAATTCTTTATGCAAAAAGAAATAGTATCTTGTTAGTATAAATCTGATTTTGTCTGTAATAAATAGTAAAATTATATGTATATGACAGAATTTTTAATATGAATTTTTAAAAGATTTACTATCAGTAAATGTTTAATTTTTATAACTATTTCATGGACCTATATTCCTAGGGTTGTGTAAAAATTTCTCTGACACAAAGAGTCATGAATGCAAACAGTTTAAGAATTTTGTTGTAAGGAATTCTAGTTATTGAGATGGGGACATTTTTTTGTCATAAGTGTATATCCGGTTCCATTTGACACACTCTGAATGCTGAGATAAAGATCTTAATAGTTCTCAGTGTAAACTTTTAGAGGTTCATCATGTGATGAACCAGTTTCTTGTGACAATTGAACATATTTTGTTCATTGATGGTCTGAGGACTGCCTGGGTTGTATCAATTTTTGGTCAGTTTCTCTAAGTGATTAACATTGCTTTAAAGTGCTCTGTGCTGTGCTAACTTCTATGGGGGACAAAGAAGACGTGACTGAACACATGCCCTGACTTGCCCTGGAACTTACTATCTGCTTAGCCAGATAAGGCACATCAGCCAGCTGACAATGGAGAGGGTTAGAGGCTCTAGTTAGTTGAGGTATTGAATGTAGTGGCTGGGGCTCTCCAGGGCTTTTTCTGAGGCAGGTTCATTAGACTGGAGAGATAGAGAGAGAGAGATAGACTACAAGAACAATAGCGTCAGAGACACTACTCTTTTGGGTGTGAGTTACACAGTGTAAGAATCATGATGACTGAGGATTTCCTACCCTTCATTCTCCCCAAAGCCTATCACATGAATTAGCTCAGTCACCCTGGGAAGGGGACTAGATGTGAAAGTTAGCATTTTCCAGCTGAAGGAAATGTAGATGCACAAGGTTGAGGGCAGGATCTATACATATTGCCTGGCCCTTGGTCCCCCATGCCCCTGAAGCAGGGAAGACAGGACTTCTGCAATGGGCTAAAGAGGATTGGAGGCCTCTAATATCCCAAAGATACCCATGAAGATGCGGCTCCAGCTGTTAAAGAGAACAAATCACACAGCTTGAGTGGGAAGTGTTTTCTTCTCATGCACAAGCCTGCAGTCTCCAAGGGAGATCTAACCCACCTGTCACTGAGTCTCTCTTTTCTCCACAGTCCTGCTCTCTGCTTAGGAAGACTGATCTGCACGGGAAAATCATTCTATACCAGACTCAACAAGAGTGACATGACTGACCCCTGTGTAATCATGCACCAAGAAACCCTGCTGAGTTACCACTCCTGGCTGCATTCACTCACCGAAGATCATATGTCTTGATAAGTGGCTTTCCATCACAGTCTGTTTAAAGTTTTCAGTCAAGCCCTTCTCTCTGATGCTCCCTGCCTGATACTGACTCTGGGATGATACAGGAGCATAATGGTGTGCCACCACCCTGCTCACATCTTTGTAACTTGCCATATATAAAAATGTCCCAGCTGTGTCCTCTTTTTCCTGCTGGGACAGGGGCAGGATAGGTACTAGGTTCTATGACCCCCCTTCCCATCCCTCACTCATGTGTCCTGGTCTCCCTCTATGTCATTGTGTCACCTTAGTGATTTTGCCTAGTTGTTCTCACTGACCAGCTCTTTGCCGCTCTTTGCCTTGGTGGGTTTCTAACCTACAGGAGGCAGAATCCCTGAGTAGCTTGGCTGTCTCTTGGAGAACTCATTTCCTGATCTTTATGTAGAATTTGTGATGTGAGTAGCTGGATTCCACACTTTTATCTGGCCTCTGGTAACAGGGTTCCTGCATACTTAGCAGCTCACAGCCTGTGAGCTCCCAAGTTTACCAGACATCCTCCATACCTTCATGTCCAGCACCATGACCCCATTGCTTACTCCCTGTAGTTGGAATTTTCTTTGGGCCACCAACCAGCTCCAAATAAAGACATGGAGAATTCTTATTAATTATAAATGCTCTTCCTTAGATTAGGCTTGTCCCGCTGGCTCTTTTAACTTAATTTAATCTATTCCTATTTATCTACATTTTGCCTGGAGCTTTTTACCTTTCTTTCATTCTGTATGTCCTACTTTCCTACTTCCTCCATATCTGGCTAGCTGGCCCTTGGCATCTCTTTCTTTCTTCCCCTGAACCTAAATTCCTCCTCCTACTTAACTCTCCCTGCCTGGAAGTCCCACCTATACCTCCTCGCTCACTATTGGCCATTCAGCTTTTCAGTAATCCAATCAGGCAGGCAAGGTAAAACAGTAACATATCTCTACATAGTTAAAGAAATGCAACACGTCTTTGCACAGTTAAACAAATATTCCACAACAGCCCCCATTACTGTACCTGCCAGTCTCAGTGACTTTAGGCCTGGCTGCTACTTGGTCCTTGGTAATCTTGCTCCTACATCTCATTCATCCCTGGTCCAAGAAGCTCAGAATCTGTCTAGACTTCTCTGTGTTGGTCCCATCAGACCTCCAGTGTAGGAAGTTTTTTTTCTGTCAAAATTAGAGGACTATTATAATATTTACAATAGAGACAAAGAAAATATATACATATTAATACAAGTTAATTATTTTGTAGAAGGATTAAAATATATCAGTTAATAGGTGTATGTTAGTCATTTTTCTGTTACTCTGATGACAACAATGTAAAAGGAAGAAAAGTCCCTTTTCACTTACAAGGTCACTTTGCCCTGTTCTTTTGGGGATGTGGTGGCCTGTTGACCCCATGGCAGCTGGATGCAAAGAAAAAAGACAAGGAAAAGTTTGAGTTTCAGTATGTTTTCCAAGAACATGTCCCACTTGCATTCCTATACTTAACTTTTTCCAACTGTAACCCACCTTGTTAAGGTTTCACCAACTCCTAACATTGCCATCGTTGGGGACCAAGATTGACTTGTGGGCACCCTTGTGTCATCACACAACAGCACATCCTTGGAAACAAACTAGGGGAGAAGGAACCTCAACTGAAGAACTGCCTCCATCATACTGGTCTGTGGGGAACTGTCCTAATTGATGCAGGAGAGCCTGGGATATTTAAGAAAGGTAGCTGAAAAAGCCAATAAACAGCATTCCACTATTCTTCCCACCTCTGCTCCTGCTTGAGTTCCTTCCCTGACTTCCCTCAGTGATGAGCTGTTACCTGGAAGTATAAGCCAAATAACCCCTTTCCCCCCAAGTTGCTTTTGGTCATGGTGTTATCATAGCAACAGAGAAGGAAGGTAGAACACAAGATATTCCAGATCCATACTATAGTGAGGCTCTTTATGTATTTACTCACTTGGAGATTTGTTGGTTTATTGACTACTCGTATCAAATTTTCTTTCCTGGATAAGGGGGAGATCCATGCTTTGTGCAGTGAAAACTGATAGAACATTCTGAAGGCAAAATGCACAGATATGAAACCAAAAGCAGAAAAACAGGTGATACTGTTCACAATTATGTCCAGGTGACATAAGCCAAGTTTTTCTTCCTGTTCTGTGACTTGTGTTCTGGTCTCTAAGGAAATACATTTTTACTAATGACACTGTACTTCTCCCATTGCACACATACCTAGCTATTTGGAGGTCCTTGCATTAAAGATTATACAAGCAAAAGGAGAGGAAGATGATAAAACTAATTATTGGCTCTATTACAAATGGAACTAGATCTCTAATATTTAGGGGCCTCAGGGAGGAGTGTGGAGGAAACCTGGACCATCCTTGTACTGTCAGAGCATTCTGTATGTCCACAGGACCTTCAGAAGCTCAGGATTTGGGCTAATTTGGGGCAATAGTTTAGTCAGTCACTCATGTCATGCATGTGTGAGGACTGAGCTTGATCTTTATTACCCACAAACAAAAACTGGGTGTAGTGGCAACTTTATAATCCCAGGGCTGGGGAGGTGAAGATGGATCCCTGAGGGCTACTGGCCAGCTGGCCTAGCCTAATCACAAGCTCCAGGTCCTAATGAGAAAACCTGTCTAAAAAGCCAAGACGAGCAGCTCCTGAGGAACAACACCTGAGATTGACCTGTGGCCTCTACATGTATAAGCTCAGAATCCCCAAGAAAGGTTTTGGCACCTGATGCTTGCTATAGATTAAGGAACATCAATAAGTAATCACAAGAGATCATTAATCAGGGCAGGAGCTGAGAGTTACAGAAACACAGCTATAACTTTGTCAGTATGTTATTTGTATTTTCGTTTTTAAATAGAAAGTATTTTTAATTTTCATTTTGTTTCTCTTCTCAAACTATTTTATATGTCCCAGTGTTTGTTTGTTATTAACTGTATAATGTTGATAATAAGTTGCACTACAGTTAGACAATTGTTACAGACAGATGAATGGGGCAGAGCTCTTCTGGAAAACAAGTCAGATGAAAGCACCATGAGCAATGAGACTGTGATTTTCTTCGAAGATGGGTGTCAGGGCTACATTTGGTATGGTGGAAGTATTTATTTATTTTAAAAGTGAAAACAGAATAAATATCTCTTTGGAAGTCAAACAGATGGACTTTATGGGAAAATTATAATTTTTTTCTTAGGCAGAATCTCACTATGTAGCCCTGGCTAGCCTGGAACTTGTCTTATAGATCAGGTTGGCCTCGAATTAACAACTCTGCCCTCCCACCCCACCAGTGCTGGGATTAAAGGTGTATGCCACCATGCTTAGTGAAATTTGTAAATTTTTGGTGCCTGACATGCATCAAATCTTTCTTACTTTGGACGATTCCGAAGATGGGTGGAAGCAAAGTTCCCTCCAGTCATGGAAGTCAAAAGAGCCACCAGGGAACAGAGAGAGGCTCAGTCATCTGTACACTCCTCCCCGGAATGTGTAGTCAGACAGCAGCACAAGCCGTGAGTGAGACTGAGAAGGCAGAGAGTAACCAGGAGACCAAGGGGTGATCCTGGCCACATTCCGCCATTTCTTCAGTTTTATGTGCAATTAAATATCTTTTCACTAGATTCCTTCCTGCAACCAAGAACCCAATAGGTAATATCACAATATTTAATTGACTTTTTTGCTATTTTTTTGGCATTTTAATAAAGGAATGTTGTAATGAATTATTATACAGGTGTGGGAGAGCTGGCCCCGATGGTATGGGGCCAGGAGAGCTGGCTCTGCCCCTCACCTGAGGGGGCAGTCACAGTGGCCTGGACTGATCAGCTCAGCTACCACCCAGACCCATATCCTGGGCCTTAGGTTGGCCCACCCTAACATATGCCCCATTTATGACCTGCTGGAGTGCACAAAGGGACTGGTCCTGCAGAATGTTAGCAATGGAATATCCATGACTCAGGCAACAGTGAGATATCAGAGGGAGTTTTCAACAAGGGCCTAGTGATGATGGTGTGCCAGAGGCCTTGAACCAGACCAATGACTCATTGCAGTGAGCATTTTGCAGGTGGGGCTGACTGGACAAAAGGGTGTACTGAGTTACACACTGCAGCTCCTGATGCCACTGGGAGAAGTGTTGGAAAGATGGATGAGGGAGATGGGTTTTTTGTTTGTTTGTTTTGTTTTGAATTAATTTGGGGGGCATGCTGCTGGGGGGTTGGATATAGAGGGACTGGGCGGTAGGTGGGATTGGGATGCATGATGTGAAATTTCCCAAGAGTCAATGAAGAATTATGTAAACTTAAAAAATAAATAAATATTAAAAATTGTCAAAAAAGATTATGTGTATGTGTGTTCATGTATGTGTATGTATGCACAAGTGTATGAGTGTGTGTGGGAGTCAGAGGTCGGCCTCTGGTGTCAATCATCAGGTTGCTGCTCACTTTGTAGAACTCCATGTCTAGTTAGTTTTGTCATCCAGCAAACAGAAACTCTTTAACCATTCCCACACTCTAGGACTTATCCCTAGAGTAGACTTTGATCCTTGTAAAATAAGGATAATGAATAGTGCGATCACAAACAAACAATTTTTTAAAAAAATAAACAGCCTTTTCACATTGTCTATAATGTGTACCAATTTAAAAGCAAGTGTTCTGATGGGAAAGCTGAAAATTGTCCTGCCCTTAACATTGGAGTAAAGAACTTAGATTTTTTTTTTTAGGGCTGAGGATACAGCTGTTGGTAGAGTGTTTGCTCAGCATGCATGAAGCCCTGTGTTCGATCCCCAAACCATGTGAAACTGCTTGTGGTGGCATAGACTTGTAATCCCCGAACTCTGTAGGAGGCAGGAGGAGCAGAAGTTCAAGGCTATCCTTGGTTATATAGCTAGGGTCAAGGTCATCTAGGCTGCAAGAGACTCTATCTTAAAAACAAACAACAACAACAAAACACCAAAAAACAAATAAAAAACCTTGAAAACAACAAAACAAAACAATTTAGGGCTGGGGAGATGACTCAATGGGTTAAGCACTTGCTTGTAGTGAAGACCAGTCTGGACTCCTAGAACTGTGTAAAGCTAGATACAGTAGTATGTGGGTCTGCAATCCCAATGTTCCTGTGGCGAGATAGGAGGCAGAGACAGGAGCATCCATGAAGCTCACAGGCCAGCTACCCTGGGAGTGATGAGATACTGCTTCAAACAAAGTAGAAGGTGAGGACCAGAATCTGAGGGTGTCTTCTGACCTCTACATGCATTATGGTAACACATGAGCCCACACTCAAATCAACACTGTGCTGGCTAGCTTTACGTCAACGTGACCCAAGCTAGCATCATCAGAGAGGAGGAGCCTTGATTGAGAAAATGCCTCCATAAATTCTGGCTGTGGGGCATTCTCTTAATTAGTGATTGGTGGTGGAGGGCCCAGCCTATTGTGGGTGGTGTCACCCTGGGTTGGTAGTCTTGAGTTCTATAAGAAAGCAGGCTGAGCAAGCCATGATGAACAAGCCTCTCTATGGTCTCTGCATCAACTCCTGCCTCCAGATTTCTACCCGGTTTGAGTTCCTATCCTTTCTTCGATAATTAACAGTGATGTGAAAGCATAAGTCAAATAAATTCTTTCCTCCCCAACTTGCTTTTGGTCATAGTGTTTCATCACAGCAATAGTCACCCTAACTAAGACAAACACACACACACACACACACACACACACACACACACACACACACACACACACACTGGAGGGGGTGAGGGGAGATAAAAACAGACTTCATGGTGGTTATAATTTTTGACTCTCTGGGCTATTTTTCTTACATTTTTCAGTGGAAGCCCCATTGTTGGATACTAAAGTTCTACAACTGTAGACCTGATGAGAAATTTCTGGGTAGTCCTTCTATAGAGAAGTTTCCATCTGTTCTTTAGGACCCACAGTAAAATAGATTTTACAGTTTTTCTTAGTCACCTACATTCTAACAATTTTCATAGTTATTTGTAGTCTCAAAGCCCTTTGTTGAATTTTTAAGTCCCACTGTTATGAATCAGTGCTTAGGAGAAATGACTCCAGCTGTCTTCTTTTCTATGTCAATGTTGGCATATGTTCATGTGGGGTCAAGCTGTCTTAGACAACCCCACTGAAGGACTGAATTCCCAAGCAGAAGTGGTATGCTCCATTACATACAAAAAAAGAACCCATGAAGAATGCAAAACTATAGACTCACTGGACATGAGACAGTCAATCTTTTATACTAAACAATAAAAACATGATTGCTAATCCTCTTTTTTAAAGCAGCAGATTTTGTAGCAAAAATGGCTACAGAAAAATTATGAAAAGTATTTCAGTATTTATGCCTTTAAAATGTTGTTCCAGTGCCTTTTGAGGAAAATTAAATTCTCTTATTTAGAGAAGAGTGAATGGTGAAGTGTGATGGGGAGGTACATTTTGAGTTTCATTACATTTTATTTAGATTAAAGTTTTAACAGTAAAAAGCAAATTCAAATGAACAGAAAATCAGAAAAACTAAGTCATGCCGTTGTCCATATTCCTTCCTAGCATTAGAGATAATACTTAATGTTGTGTTCACTTAATGGCAATGGTTACTATTGAGTAGAGAATTTACTTAGATTTTTACTTGGCAGATGAGCTGATTGTTTTAAGTTATGGAAAAGAAAAGGCAGAGAGGGAAGGTTTTTGAAGCCAGAAACAACCTCACTCCTTGTCTCCTTGTCTCATGAAGTGGCATTGCTATGGCTCTGCTCTGACCCAGTTACTTCCTCCAGCCACACTGAGCAGTACGGTAAGGAGGCAGCAGCAGCGCTGGGTGGCGAAGAGGTTGACCTCAGTGTCCCCCAGTTCACCACAGCTCTCAGGTTTGTGCTTAAGAAGCCAGAAACACAGGCACAAGCTTTTGCATCTGGACTTTTCCTAATTATAGTAGGTGGCATGTTTCTTTTTTTTTCTCAACAATTTCATTTCTAACAGTAACAACTTGATTTTCCAACTGTTTTAGTTGGTCAGCTTTTTGTTTTGTCTGCCTAGACTCAAATCTTCTATCTTCTAAATCTGAAAGAAGATGAAAAGAAGGATCTATGTCTGCTTCATAGGTCTTTCTTGTGTTTTTTCATCATAAAGACAGATCTCTGTGTGTCTTAACGATGTGTTTTGATTCAATGGATAAAATAAAATCCCTTTTCAGCAGACTTCTCAAAAATTGTATACCATAAGTCAAATAAAACTGGTACTTTTGTCCAAAAATTTTATATTAAAAGGTATTTAAAGATGCCATTCAGAATATACCTTTAACCTAGCACTTGGGAGGCAGAGGCAGGCATGTCTCTGATTTCCCTAAGCCAGGGCTACATAGAGAAACCCTGGCTCAAAAAACCAAACAAATAAAACAAATCAATTAAATAAAAAAAAGGGTACCTTCCATAGCTAGAGTTGATTAGAAATGAAAAGTCCCATGCAGCTTTGAGTGGACTTGTTGCTATTTTTCCAAATTAAAGTATTTTGTTTTTACTACTTTCACTGAATGTGATCTTTGGACTTTTCCAGTTTTTAAGAAATGTCTTTACTGACATGGAAGTGCCTGAATGTGACAACAAATTGAGGTTTTTTTGTTTGCTTTGTTTTGTTCTGGCTGCATTCATACTCATTTATCAATTTATTATCAATTGATCCATCTATCTACTGGTCTATATATTCACTTATTCTTCACTCAGCAACAATTATTTGAGAACTCTATAAATCTTAATGAAGAACCTACAGAATAAGGGATGTAAAGGATGTAGAGAGCTCCAGATGATAACATGAAGACCTTAGGTAGAAGTGGACCTTCCAAAAGCAAGAAAGTAAATGTACCCCACTTCATTGTTCAGAGTGCCCCTAAAGCTAGGTTACTTTAGAGTGTCAAACTAGCATGTGGTTAAGGGAAGGGCCAGGCTAAATCGGAAACCATTCTCTAAACAAATGCTGTCGTGCTGTTTCATGTGGAAAGAAAAAAAATTCCTAGCCTGTGACATAGCTATTTTCCAAGTACTTGAAAAGCCAGCCTAGAAACCAGAGTGAATATGTTCTCTGTCATCCTGGTGAACTAAAATGAAAAGCAGCAATTTGAAAGGTTGCTGAAGGAAGATTTTTTTTTTCTGAATATAAAAGAGAAAGTTATAGCAGCCACTGAAACGCAAAAGAGCTGGTGTGGAAGTAGTGAGTGCTCTGTTACTAGACACATTCAAATGCAAGTCATTTGGAATTAAAAAGGGAATTCAACCCTGGAACCATGTTTGCAAAGAGATCCCTGTGTTTCTACCAGGTAAATGATATGATTGAACAGGCTACCTTTCATTCCCCCTACCAGATCCAATCTCCGTCTTCTTCAGTGTCCTGGAAAGCTAACCTCCATGGTGACATCATCAGGCTTCCTCTACCTCTGCTTACAAGCTCATATGGTTGGAGAAATGTGCTGACAAGGGATCATACTGAGACCAGCAAACAGTCTTTATTCCTGTTCACAACCCAGCAGTCTTTTCTCTCTCAGCTCTAGCTTTTCTTAATGTGCCAGGGTTCACAGGGCTGTGGCAACATTCTTGCTTCTCTTACCTGTTGATTCTCGAGATGCTAAAGAATTCGCACTGCATAACACTAGCCAGCTCCCCAAGTTCTATAACCTTCGTTGTTCCAACCTACAACCAGCAAGATGTCTCAGGCCACAAAGGCACTTACTACTACCTGGTAGAAGCAGCGAACTGACTCCTGAAAGTTGTCTCCTGACCTGCATAAATATTCTGTGGCACACATACTTTACCTGCCTGCA